TTCTGATACAAATTCATTTATCTGATTATATAAAATCTTTTCAAAAAATTTTGAGAAAATTGGAAGTATACTAATAATTCGCAAGTCCGAATAACAAGTAGGTTTATTGTTTTTAGGAAAGGGAATACCTAGAGCTTCTTTCCAAGCACCAGGAATGCAGTAATTAAAAATATGAACTAAATAGTTTTCAATGAATGGATAGCAATAAAGTACCATTCTCAAGGATAAGCTGTCAGCACCCGTACTATTTTTTTTAAACTCAAAATAATATTATTAATATTGTTCTTGTCAATCATCCGAAATGAAAAGGAAATGTTTGGCTTAAAAATCGTTTGACTGTAATTAAAAATTAAATTATTAGAGTTATCATTAGTTTCAGTAACAAACTGACTGAAATATCGATTAATTTGTTCAGGATCAGACAGATTAGTTGGCAAGACATTTGAACTATTAGCATGAATATTGAAATTAGCCAGAGTTGACCATAACTCGCGTTGACTTTTTTGGGATGAAACAAAATCAATATAGTTTTTTTTCTCTTCTAGCCAGCGATACCGTTAAGTTTCTAAGTTTTTTGTATCTTAACCAATCTGTCTCATTCTTTGTTGCCTTGAATTTTTGTAGTGCTGTTTTCTTATCCTTTATCAAAAGTCTTAAATTAGGAGATAGCCATGGAGCTTTAGGTTTAGATACTTTTCTAGTTACAGTTGGGGCAAATATGTCAAAGCTTGAAATAATAAACTTATTAAGAATGTCAACTTTCCTGTCAATATTTGATTCGTATAAAAGTTCGTTCCAGTTTAGAGACGATAAATGTTCTAGAAAAGGCTGATGATTAAAATTATCAAAGCAGCGATAGGTTATAAACTTAGGAGGTAATTTGGAGTCGGATGTGTTTAAGATTCCAATGACCAGTCTATGATCCGATATGTTGTTATCAGACGTGCCACAATTAATTAATTTTATGTTTTTGGATATGAATAAAGAATCAATTAAAGTACTGTTGGTATTAGTAATTCTTGTTGGCTCATTGAGTACCTGTGTCATATTGTATGATTCTAGGCAAGAGGAAATAGCATTTGGAAGGTTAAAAAAAATTAAATTAAAATCACCCATACATATATGATGGTCATACATTGCGCATATGTAAGAAAAAATATTGTCTAAGACATCAATAAATAAATTTAAATTAGAATTGGGCGGTCGGTAAAAAACGCCCACTGCATATGAAATTCTTGTACATTTTATATTTAAAAATAGAAATTCTATAGACTCGTCAATTTCAAAATCAAATGTAATCTCATCACAAGAAAGGTTGTTATTAACATACGCTCCAAATCCACCACCCCTCCCGTGAGCTCTGTCATGTCGAAAAAAAATATATCCGGGAATATTGAATAGATTAGATGTTATTACATCAGTTAGCCACGTTTCAGTTAAAAGAATAATATCAAAATTCTCTCTATGTACAAGAGTCAGGAATTCGTCAAAACCAGTAAACATCGAGCGCACATTCAAATGGGCAATTTTCATACTTCTCTAATAAAGAAACATTTCATACTTATATGCCTTACTAAACACGGATAAGAATTTATTTCAGTAAGTCTTTAAGGTGACTTTCATTGCGGACAGCAACAACTTTGGAATCATCGTTCTTGCGTGATAATATTTTCCCATCTCGATGCCACACATATTTGTAGCCGGCACCTAGAAGTTGTTCCTTGGCCTTTTTAAAGAGCGCATAGGTCTCTTTTGTAAGCTCCTCATCAACAAAAATTCTATCATTCGAATCAGAAAATTTAGTATTTTTTAGTGTCAGTTTTCCTTTTCTGCCACGAGATTGAAGAATTTGCTTTTTATGTTCTGGTTTTACGGTAACGATGACTTTTGTACCGCTTTTTGTTGGCACTTGTCTGAAGTTGGATATATCGTTTGAGGTCAAGGGCGTGCCCAAGAAAGAAAATAGGGTTAGGGTTTTTTAAGTGCTTGTTCCTGAGTTTCTTCTTTAGCAGTGAGGCCCGTAATTGACAAGTTGTTTTCAATCTTTTTCATTTGCACAGTGTTAGATACTGATTTCAATTTGTCAACTTCAGCCTTCAGAACTTGATTTTCCTTTGTTATCTCGCCTACTATATCTTTCAACACCTTTGATCGTTTCTTTTCTTCATCAAACGGCTCACTCAGAAAGTCCAGTGACGTTATTATCTCTTTATTCTCATCTTGCACGTTTATAATGAGAAGTTTCAGCTCCGCAATGACGTCTGACCTATCTTGAGAGGGCTGTGAAAACAGTGCAGATCGCCGACCAGAAAAATGTGGGACTGGAGGGACTACAGGCTTCTTACAAGTACCGCAAGTCCATGGTCGTTTTTCAGTAGCCATTAATCTTGCATCAACCTCACTAACATCTCCACACCCCAGATGAAAATGTTGTTTGCAGACTCCACACTGCAGCTTAAGTACTCCTTTGCTAACATTTTTTTGACAAACATGGCAATTTTTAGTAGTTCCACCACCCATTCTTATACTTTTTGCTGAACGTGGCAACGGTGCAATTTACAACAATAGGTGGAACAGGCGAACTGCTGGGTCTTTGGACTTTGGTCCAATCTCGCGATAATGGTCTTTGGTCCAATCTCGCGATAGACAGCGTGGCTTCAGTTGTAGTTTTATTGATAAACACGTAAAAAACCTTTTTTATGTCAGATGTTCAAAAAGTCATTGAATGTAGATTATATTTGCAAACTTGTAATTATTTTAACTTTTTAAAGCGTAAAAACTTTGATTATGGACAACAACAAAACTATAGGTCATACAGCCCGTGTTGCCGAATATGTATGTATGTTACAATCGTTAATAGCAAATGAAGTATTTCAATTATGCTCCGCAAATTCCATCAATTATTTCTGAATGATTTGAATTCCATTGATGAAGTTCAAAAGCTGCACTCTTTAGAATATTATCAACTTGTTTAATAAGACTAACTGATTCGTCAATGTTATTCACACCACAAACAAAATCATCCATATAAAAGTTTTGTTCAATGGCATTGCTAGCCTCTGGATACTGTAAACTATTCTCAATAGCTAATTCTTTTAAGCAACGAGTTGCCAAAAAGGACGCGGGAGAAGTACCATATGTAACGGGATTTAAAACAAAATGTTTCAATTCGCTTATAGAATCCGATCTCCAAACTATTCACTGGAAATGTCTATCGTCATCGCTTACTAATATCTGCCTATACATTTTTGCTATGTCGGCTGTAAATGCTACGTTGTACTTTCTAAACACGAGTAAAATTGTAAATAAGTCCCGCTGTATACATGACCCTACTGTTAAAATATCCTTTAAAGATAATTCTGATTCCCACTTAGCCGACGCGACGCGTCAAACACTACTCTTAATTTAGCCGTGTGTGACGTTTCTTTTCTGACCGCGTGATGAGACAAATAGTTTCTATATTATTTTTCAATAAATGATAATTTTCTTTAACAGGCAAACGAACTATAAAACGACCATCCTCTTTTCTAGTCACATTTTCAACAAAATTATTTTCCACCTCTTGTTCCTCCTTAGAATATTTAATAATTTTACCCGGCGTTTCCTCTACAGTCCAAAAATTTTCTAACTGAGCGCGTCTGAACTAAATGTTGAATAAAAATTCTGCACGCGTAATTTTCGTAATATTAGTACTCATTGCGCTAATACCAGACACCGGTGCGTCTATACTTTTAGATCCTAATCCTAATCGTTTATATAGGTTTGATGTCATGAAACAAGACTGACTACCGTTATCGAGTAAAGCGCGACATAAAATCGGCCGATTTAAATTATCAAAAATATAAATTTGCGCCGTAGCCAATGAAACGAATACGTCATTTTTAAAAGTCGCCTTAACCATACCGCTTATTGTATTATTATTTCGTATATTTTGATTTTGATTATTCTGTGGTCTATTATTAGAATTTCGAGAAGGAGGAGTTAAGGCTCCCTAAATATAAAATAAAACTTGGCAACAGTGAGTGTGACATGTTGTTGTAGCATGTAGACGCTTATTGTATTTTCCACAAATAAAGTGAAAATAAATGTATACAGTCCACAAAATAGTGATTTAATTAAAGCCAAAACATTGGTCCAATCGAGCCGGATAGTGAATCGGTTAAACTTTGTCCATTTTGAAGAATTACATAAGAAAAATCAAGGTAAATCTAACCAGTCAATAAAGCCAGGTTAGGAAGAGAGAAGCCGTAGAAAAAGAACGAGAGAAATAGGCTAAAGAGCTGAAGCAAAACACACATCGGTGCGACGCCAAGCAAGAAGCAGCGTCATCGACTGGCGTTTTTTGTGTTCCACCAACGGTCTCTCAGCGCTGCGTCACAATAAAAAGTTCTGAGTAAGTTCGTTCCTTATTTTTGTTAATATATCGTAAAACTTGTGTCAACATGTCTGAAATTGCGTTACTAAAATCTTCTCTGACTCCACTTAGACAAATCTTGCCAGGCGCGTCCAAGTCGCGGGGGTGGGCCCGATTTCACGAAATCGGTGGCTAAGTCCTGTCGGGGACCCAATGTTGCGGGGTATAACGCTTCCCCCTGGCCAGGGTTACGGTCGAAGACCACAACGGCGAAGAAGGCGGAGAGGATGGACCTCAGTACGGCGGATTTGGCGGAAGTGGCTACCCAGCTTTAGGGATAATGTATAAGCAGCAGGGAAAATTGGTCTCTTGAGTCTTGACGGACACCCAGTTTAAGGGAAGAACACCCTGACATAAAATTACCTGGTCCTCCTAGTAGGGGGTTAAGGCGTTGGGTCTGCAGCCCATCACTTATAAAAATTCAAAAAACGCAAAATTTCTCAACAAAGCCTCGGACCCGGACTGTCAGAAACGTAGACGAAAATTGGCAATGAAACGGACTTTACGAATAGGAACATGGAATATTCAAGGGATAGCAACAAAGAGAGAAGTATTTAAATAAATGAAACGGTACGATATGGACATAATGGCTCTAACAGAGACTAAGAAAAAAGGGAAAGGTACAGAAGAGAAGGATGGATATGTGCATATATACAGTGGTGTACCAAAAGAGGAGCGAGCCCGCGGTGGAGTATCACTAGCAATTAGGAAGAAATATAAGAAATTTATAAAATCTTGGGACCAAATCAACCTCAGACTTTTGCAGGTGGATGTTGATGTGAGAAATCATTCTTTGGTAGTTATAGCAGCCTATGCCCCAACTGACGACGCCCCAGCCGCCGAGAAGGACACGTTCTTTTTTGATTTGACGACAGCCTTGGAAAAGATTGGAAGTCGAAAGGAGGTGATTCTAATTGGTGACTTAAATGGCAGAACAGGTTTTAAATTAAATGACCCAGTGGTAGGACGCTACGGAGAACACATTGTAAATAATAATGGTGACAGACTTATTCACTTATGCGAACAACAGGCACTCAGGATTGCTAATGGATGGTTTCCACATAAAGATATCCACAAATATACATGGACGCAACCCACACGAAATCTAAAATCGTTAATTGATTATATAATTGTTAGACAGAATACTCAAATGAAAATTTCGGATGTCAGAGTCATGCGTGGCCCAGAATGTGGTACTGATCATTTCTTGGTAGTAGCAAAATCTTATTTTCCCTACAAACAAAAAATGCAATCAAATGGATTGCCTGAGAAAAATGAAACTCCATTAAGTAACGTCAAGTATAATATCGAAAGTTTGAGGAATGACTCAACTAAATTCTTGTACCAGATGAGACTAGCCACGAAATTAAACAGAATAGGACAAGGATCTCCAAATGATATGTACGAAGGTCTGAAAACGTGCATACATGAAAACACAAACAAACGCCATAAATGAGGCTCTTGGAGAGAAAATAGTCTCCACGAGATACAGAAAAGATACACCTTGGTGGAGTGAAGAACTAGGAAAGATTGTAGATGAAAAGAAGGCTGCTTATGGGAAATGGTTAAGTACACAGAGCACTCAAGACAGACTAATTTATAATGACAAGAAGGGAAGTGTACAGAAGGTGTGGTGTCTTGGACCACGTGATTCCAACTTTACTGAGGCTGAGTAAAACACAGTTTGAAATTTGATACTTTTATTTCAACGCTCAGAGAAAGAATGAATTTACAATGTCGTACCATCAGTACCTTATGCCTGCGCATACATCTACCGGAAACGGATGGTGTACTATATATTATTTTACACATGGTAAAGGCGGAATATTTAAATATTATTTTTATAACAATACTACAATAATACCCTCCTCTTAATTTTTTTTTACAAAAAAAATATATCTACTCTCTTTTAATCAATTTGTATTTAAACTTAAGCAATAACTGTTTAAACTTAGTGGCGTTTGAATCAAGTATTATACAACTAATAACTTAATATCTATATAACCTAATCCAATAAACAATAATAACTCCTTTGGCATTAAAAAAATTAACTACATTTAAACCAAATTTTAACATTTCCTAAAATTACAAATGCTCTAACTATTCTGCTCAGATCCAAATCTAATAACAGGTTTTATAATCCTTCTTGGTCTTTTATTTTCGGGAAAAACAATTTCATTTTTCTTTAAATTATTACTGTCATTATTAATTGATGAACACTCTGGTTGTTCCTCACTTAACTTGTTTTCTAATTCTACCCTATTATTATTAACACCATTATCTATATTTACACTTTGTACATTAAATTTTGGACTAATTTCTAAATTAGGCTGATTGGTACAAACACTAGAATTTATGTAAGTTGGAATTTTAGATTCATTAAAATGTAGAGTATATTTTTTTAATTGATTAGTGTGCCTCTTCCAAAGTTTTTCCAATTCTGGTATTTTTACCAAATAAGTCCTAATTCCCAATTTTTTTTGTTATAACTCCTTTAATAAAAGTTGGTTTGTCGACATATTTATAATTCTTGACTAACACAGTTTCATTTACATCAAAATTTACTTCTTTATTTGGCTTACTATTTTTTATTTGATTACTTTGAGCATGTTCCTCCCTTTTACTTAATACATTTCTATCTATGTTCTCTTTAAAAACCAATGTATTATCAGTGGGTAAAAGAGTAGATAAGCTCGTCCTTAAAGCAAAATATAAACACTAAATCACCACAATACACCAAAACACTTTTACTTTTACAACTTTTACTTTTATAAACTATTAGTTTATAATCATCTGCTGATGATGCTAACATGGTTAGCGAAACGCGCGTCCGGTGTAAAAGTAAAAGTGTTTTGGTGTATTGTGGTGATTTAGTGTTTATATTTTGCTGTGTAACACCAAAGGTTCCAACCCTCAACTGTAATCTCGTCCTTAAATTTCTACCTAACATTAAAGTCGCAGGACTCACCCCAGTTGTACAATGTGGAGTGACCCTATAATCTAAGAGGAACCTGCATAACACTACATTAGTATTTTCCGAGTTTGAGACTAAAGCCTTTTTAAGAGCTGACTTTACAGTTTTAACAGCATTCTCTGCTGCTCCATTAGATGCTGGGGAGTAAGGGGGACTCGTTACATGTTTGATGTTATTTTTTGCCAAAAAGTTTTCGAATTCATCTGATACTAGCTGTCTGCCATTGTCTGAAACTAAAGTAATTGGCAAACCAAAAGTAGCAAAAACTCTTCTAAGAGCTTGTATAGTTAATGTAGAAGTAATACTAGACATTTCGAAAACTTCCAGCCATTTTGAATAAGCGTCAAGTATTACAAGATAATTTTTTCTTCTAAAATCAAAAAAATCTATATGAATGCGCTCCCAAGGTGCTTTTGGCCAAGGCCATGGAGATATTTGCGACTTTGGAGCATTATTTGAATGCAAAACACATGCGTCACATTTTTTTGTTAAATTTTCAATTTCAACATCTAAATTTGGAAACCAAACATACCCTCTAGCTAAACTTTTCATCTTAACAGCTCCCATATGTGATTTATGTAACTCTTGTAATACTTGCTGCCGCATAGAACTTGGAATAACAATTCTATGATTCCATATTATACAATTCTGAATTACATCAAATTCAAATCTTTTAGCAAAATATGCCTTTAACGAAATATCATTCACTTTTTTAGGCCATCCTTTTTTAATAAAATAAATGACTTTTTTAAGAATTTTGTCAGAGGCTGTTTCCTTTTGTAAAATTTCAAAATTTAAATAAAAATCTGTATTTTTTGATAAAAAATAACAGTAGTCTATATCAATATTGTCATCATTAAATAAATCACTATCTTTACTTGATGGCATACGGGATAACCAGTCTGCATTATTTTTGTTGCTTTTTACGTATGCAATTTCATAATTGTACCCTGATAATATTACTGCCCACCGCCTTAGCCTATTTGCCGTAAATTGCGGTATGCTCTTGTGCTCACCAAAAATTGTTAATAAAGGCTTGTGATCTGTTACAAGTTTAAATTTCTTCAAATATAAATACTGATTAAACTTTAAGACGCCAAAAATTATTGCTAGTCCTTCCTTTTCAATCTGTGAGTACCGTTTCTCGGTCTCCGATAACGACCTCGAAGAAAAAGCTACGGGTTTTTCGTCACCGGAAGGCAAAATATGACTTAATACAGCCCCTATGCCCACGGGTGAGGCATCAACCGATAGCCTTAGCTCCAATTCAGGATTGAAGTGAACTAAAACTTCAGCAGATTTCAGAAGCTCTTTTATTTTTTTAAAAGTTTGCTCTTCTCTCAAAGACCATTCCCATTTAACATTTTGTTTGAGAAGATTGTAAAGGGGATGTAGCAATGTGGACATATTTTTTATAAATCGACCATAATAGTTTATAGTACCTAGAAACGACTGTAACTCCTTAACATTTTTTGGTGGCATAGCATTATCGATAGCTGATATTTTTTCTTTTGAAGGGTGTAAACCCTCTTCGTCTATAATAAACCCTAAATATTCAATGCTTTTTTGAAAAAAATTACACTTTTCAAAATTAACTTTTAACCCTGCATTTTGCAAAACTTTAACAACATTTCTTAAATTTTCTAAATGACTTTTTTTATCAACCCCAGTGACCAAAATATCATCTTGAAAAATAACCACCCCTGACAATGCACTTAATAGAGAATCCATTATTTTTTGGAATTTAGCTGATGCACATGATATGCCAAACGTTAAACGATTAAATCTAAAGAGGCCTAAATGTGTAGATATTGTTAATAACTCCTTACTCTCATCATCAATGGCTATCTGCTGAAAGGCTTGTGACAAATCAAGTTTCGAGAACTCCTTTCCTCCCTGAAGCTTGCTAAAAAGATCCTCAATTCTCGGTAGTGGGTGCTGGTCCACTTCTATTATAGGGTTGACTGTTACTTTGAAGTCTCCACATATTCTTATGTCTCCATTTTTCTTAAAAACTGGCACAATTGGGGTTGCCCATGCGCTGTACTCCACTGGAGACAATATACCTAAAAATACCAATCGTTCAATTTCTTTTTCTACTTTATTTTTAATAGCAAATGGGACTGGGCGAGCCTTTAAGAATTTTGGTTTAATTTCAGTATTTTTTAAATAAATTTTCTCTTTGGCCTTGTTAAAACAGCCCAATCCAGGAGAAAAAACATCAGGAAATTCATCATGCAAATGCTGAGTAGCATTATTTATGTTAAAGACATTCAAACTAAAATTGTATAAATTTAAAAAATCACGCCCTAATATCGGAGGTCCTCCATTTTTCATAATGTAAAAAGTTAAATTTTCTTTTTTTCCTTTGTAACTTATTTCTAAATAAAGTTCACCCAATGGCTTCACTTGTTGCCCATTATAAAAAATAAATGTTTTGTTTGATCCTTGAAGAGGATAAATTTTAAAATTATTTAAATAAAATTCCTCAGAAAAACATGAAATTCCGCTGCCCGTATCTATTTGACATTGAACGTTTTTATTTTCCAGTAAAATATTAATTTTAAATGGTTCTGATCTAAAAATATCTTGCTGTCTTAATGTAAACAAACAAATATCATCATTGTTTTGATTATTTACCGATGATTTTTCTTCAATAAAATTATGATATCTATTACTAAATTTTTGCCTGCATACTGCGGCTAAATGACCTTTCTTTTTACATTTGGAACAATTTAAAGATTTATAAAAACACTTATCTTTTTGGTGATTGCCTTTTCCGCAGACGTCACATTTTATGGCTGTCATCATGGCTGCCTCCCTGCTGTGACTTTGACGTTTCTGTTGGTGGGGGTTCCACTGCTGTCTTGTGGTTCCAAAGTTGCCTCCTACATCCCGGTTTCGCGCGCCTCTTGCACCTGCGTCGCCTTTCTTGTTGCGTAGGAAATTCACGGGCTCCTGTTTTACCATCGATTCTTGCACCTCTCTGGCCGCCATCTTTGCTGATGCAATTTTCACTATCCCTTCAAAAGATGTAGCGATATTTTCCTCCATTAGACGGTCCAAAATTGGTCCCTTTTCGAACCCAAATATGAATCGATCTCTTAGGCAAATCCCAGCTCGGCTCCGAACTCGCATCCTACAGCCAGACTTCGCTGCCTGCCCACTGAGTTGCCGTCTCTCCATATTCCTTCTTTGCTGCATAAAATTTGTATCTTAAAGCGAATGCGGACTGCTGCGGTTTAAAATATTCGTCGAACACCTTGATCAACTGGCCAAATGTCCTTTGTTCCGGTTTCTCAGGACTTACCAAGTCTTCATCTTTCTCTTCTTTTATTCCGTTTGCAGCGAAATAGTTTAACAAACGGGCTTTGAAGATAGACCAGTCACTACTTATCGGTGAAAATTCCCTGAGATGCCCGATTTCCGCCATTTTACTGTTCACTTCTTAACGCGCGGATCGATATTCGTTTTCAACACAGAATAGAATAATAGTTTTTAATCCTCGTCGCCAATTGTGGTGTCTTGGACCACGTGATTCCAACTTTACTGAGGCTGAGTAAAACACAGTTTGAAATTTGATACTTTTATTTCAACGCTCAGAGAAAGAATGAATTTACAATGTCGTACCATCAGTACCTTATGCCTGCGCATACATCTACCGGAAACGGATGGTGGACTATATATTATTTTACATATGGTAAAGGCGGAATATTTAAATATTATTTTTGTAACAATACTACAGAAGGAAATAATAAAAGCAAAGAATGAGTACTGGGAAGAAAGATGCCAAGAAGTCAACTTAGAAGCTGGAAACACAGAAGCAAATGAAGCATGGAAAATTATCAACGGAATGCGAAGGCAACATAAAGATACTGCAGGGATGAATATTATTCCGATCGAGGATTGGAAGACTTATTATCAAAATCTGTTGACGGAAAATAGAACCGAATTCATACAAGATCATGAAAGTCATCCTGTTAATCCAACCGAACCTGAGCATCCAACACTAATAAGCTCTGCAGATGTAAATAAAGCCCTCCAACAAATGAAAAATGGCAAAGCCCCAGGTTTGGGAAATGTTTCAGTAGAACTTTTAAAGGCTGCCCCCTCAGCAGTTTTGGAAATTCTGGCAGATATTTTTAGTAGATATTTAAATGGAGAAGACCCGCCCAAAGAATGGAAAAAAGCGATTATTACGTCCATATTTAAGAAGAGGGGAGACGACGACTGTGAAAATTATAGAGGAATTAGTGTCATTTGTACTGTTGCTCGACTCTATGGCAAAGTACTAAAACATAAGATAGAAGCACAAATAACGGAATCGGAAGAGCAAAATGGTTTTAGACCGGGACGCTCATGTACTGATGGCATTTTCACTCTTAAGCATCTAATCGAAAAAGGGCTAGAAAGGGGAAGGACGGTCCACTTGACATTTATTGATCTACAGAAGGCATACGATACAGTCCCACCGAGTAAGTTGTGGATGTCAATGCAAAATTTTGGTATCAGTAGTTGGTATGTCCAAGCAACATGAAAATTATACGAGGGTTGCAGTAGCACAGTTAAACTTGGAAACAATATTTCCCAAGAATTTCTTGTGAATAAGGGCTTAAGACAAGGGTGTTCATTAGCGCCAACTTTATTTAAAGTATATTTGGAGGAAGTACTGAAGTGTTGGAAGATGAAATGCCGTGGAATGGGAATCCCAGTAGGAAAAGACACTTTATATACCTTACTCTTTGCCGACGACGAGGTCTTGATAGCGGGAGACAGAGACGACTCCAGTTATATGTTTAGAAAACTGCATGAGGAATATTCGAAATGGGGCCTAACAATAAACACAAAGAAGATGGAGTACATGGTAGTGGGTGATGACGAACGTGAGGATTTGGATGTAGGAATCGGCACAATTAAAAATGTCTGTACATTTAAATACTTGGGCGTCACTTTTACAACAAATGGAAAAAGCACTCAAGATATTGCAAATAAAGTTGGTCAAGGAAAAAGAGTTATCGGTCAACTTAACTCGTTGTTGTGGAGTGACAAAATTTCCCAAAAAACAAATTCTACTTTATAAAGCCACTGTAGAGAGCATTACCACTTATGGCGCTGAAACGTGGGAGCTAAACAAAGTAGAGAAAAATAAGTTGCTGTCTCTTGAAATGGATTTTTGGCGAAGAAGTTGTCGCATTTCAAGACTGGAACACATCTCAAATCAAAGAATACGAGAAATTATAGGAGAAAAAGAAACTATTCTCGACGCCATTGACGGCAAAATACTAAGTTGGTACGGACACCTCCAACGAATGGATGATAACCGATGGCCGAAAAGAATTCATTCATGGACACCAAGCGAAAGGCGGAAACGTGGAAGACCACCTCGAAGATGGAAGCAGGGCGTAGTTGACGCTATGAATTCTAGGGGCCTCCAGGAAGAAGACTGGACAGACAGAAATCTGTGGAAGTTGAGAAGCGGGAGACGACGAATGTCGTAAAAATCCGCAATATATAAGTTCCTTAAAAAGCAAACTAACGCGTCTTCAAAATTATTTTAATTCTATTAATAAAAACGAATTAGACGATATTATAATTAATCAACTTGAGAGCCGCTTAGAAAAGATTCAACCTATTTGGGAACAATTTGACGAAATCCAATTTGAGATAGAGTAAATGTTGTGCACTAGCGAAAATCCTCAATCTCAGTCTGACGAAGATGAGAGAGACGCGTTTGAAAATAGTTATTTCAAATTGACTGGAGATATAAAGATTCTAATTAAAAATTACAACCAAATAATAGGACCCAATGATGGTTCTTCTGGTCAGTTTTCGACACAATTCGGTGGTATCTAATTTTTTCCAATCCTTAGTGAAATTGCCATCCATTAAACTCCCTACTTTTGATGGACAATATGGTAATTGGCTAGAGTGTAAAGAAAGTGCGATATTCGAACATCCTAGTTTAATTAAAGAAAGTTATACCGATCTTCGAAACTTATATGATTCTGTTACCAAGCATTTACGTGCGTTGAAGGCTTTAGGCGAAACAATGGATATATATTATGTGTAGTAAATTTGACAGAACTACACGACGAGACTGAGAAATTTATAAATACGAAAATGATTTACCGACAATGAAGGATTTAAGTAATTACTTACAATTGAAATGCGAGATGCTGGAAAACTTGGAAATGTCAAATAAAGATGCGAATAAAAATAATAAACAAAATAAAAAATACTTTAGAGATACTAGATCACTCAACAAATAAGCAGGACAATAAATTTAAGTGTTATTATTGTCAGCAATCCCATGGTATTTTCAATTGCAGTGATTTCTTAAAATTATCCGTAAATGAGCGTATCGCAGCGGTAAGGAGGATTAAACTATGTTTAAACTGTTTGCGCGATTCGCACCCTTCTTGGAAATGTAACAAATCAAAATGTTTTAAATGTAAAAGGTCGCACAATACTTTACTTCATTCAGATTTTTACCAGAAAATGGATCAAAATGCCGTAGTGACCGCTGGTGCAAATAGTTTGCCACCTACAGAGAGAGAGAACGATACGACGCCGAACACGGCTGACAGGCACATATCGTTAAATTCCTATGTGTCGGAGGCTGAAAGCGCTGTTGCCGTACTTAACCCATTTTCGAGTTGTAGATTTCTGCGGGATATTCTCAAGTTTTGCTTTCTACTGCAATGATACAGTTGACGAATGGGAAAAAGAGTATTATGGCACGGGCTTTGTTGGACAGTGGTTCGCAAAGTAATTTTATATCGGAGAACATTTGTAAAAAATTAAATTTACAAAGGACTGCAATAAATCATGCAGTAAAAGGTGTGGGACAGACATTAACAAATATTAATAATCAAGTTAATGTAACAATTAAGTCTTGCATAAGTAATTTTAAGACAGATGCAACGTGTTTAAGAACCTAATATGTCAGATTCGGAGAAATATTGCGAGCGTTACTTCAAAGAAATTGTTCAAAGAAATGCAAGTGGTAATGCAATTAGGCGATTCACGTGATATGGCGTTAAAGAGGTTTTATCACCTTGAAAGAAAATTTAAGAACAATCCTGAATTAAAATCAGATTATGTAAAATTTATGTCTGAATATGAATCTTTAGGCCACATGTGTAAGACTGATGATGGTGAACGACGGGTACTATCTTCCATATCACGCCGTGATAAAAAATTGTAGCATCACTACAAAATGTAGGGTAGTGTTTGACGCGTCGGCAAAGTCGTCGAGCGGGTTTTCCCTTAACAATGTTCAGTATGTCGGTCCGACACTTCAACAGGATGTGTTTTCAATATTAACTAGATTTAGAATTCATGAATTTGTTTTGACAGGTGGCATATCAAAAATGTATCGTCAGATACTTATTGATTCTAATGAAACTAAATTCCAAAAAATATTTTGGCGTTCGCAATCTGATGAAAAAATAAATGTTTATAAATTAAACACTGTAACGTACGGTACGGCTTCTGCGCCATATTTAGGTGGAAGGTGTTTGTTTCAGATTGCAGATGAAAATGAAAATTAGTTTCCAATCGTCAGTAAAATAATAAAAAGAGATTTTTACATGGACGATGTTTTAACTGGTTCTGATTCTATAGAAGAACTATTGCAAATTCAAAAAGATCTTATAAATTTATTATCTAGTTATGGTTTCGAACTTCGCAAATTTCTATGTAACAGTCAAGATTTATTGAACAAATTTGATATTAATAAAAATTTAGATGTCGGAATACTTAATATAGGAATTAATGAAGATTATAAAACTTTAGGAATTTACTGGGATTTTAATAATGATCAAATAAGATATAAATTTAATTTAGATGAACGTCTTTCTAAGGAACGGGTAACCAAACGTACAATTTTATCTTTAATATGTCAAATTTTTGACCCACTTGGTTTACTTGGGCCTTTAATAATAACTGCTAAGCTAATAATTCAAGAGCTTTGAAAATTAAAAATAGATTGGGATGCAGAAGTTCCGTCACATTTGTTAAATATTTGGAACACATTTTTTATCGGTCTTTCTGCTATCAGTAATTTAAAAATTCCAAGATATGCTGCATTTTCTCAATATATACACATCGAGATGCATGGTTTTTGTGACTCTTCAATCAAGGCTTATGGAGTATGTTTATACTTAAGGTGTTTAACATCATCAGGAGAATATTGTTCAAATTTGTTAGCAGCAAAATCGCGTGTTGCACCTTTAAAGCAAGTTAGCTTACCACGTCTCGAATTATGCGGTGCAGTATTACTAGCAAACTTAGCTAAAAAGACAATAGATTCGTTAGAAATTAATTTTGATCAAATTTATTACTGGACAGATTCGACAATAACATTATGTTGGATAAGAAACGAATCGACTAGATGGAAAACCTTTATTGCGAATAGAGTGAGCGAAATTAGATCAATCACCGACTATCAAAACTGGCACCACGTAAAATCTGAAGAAAACCCGGCTGATTTAATCTCTCGGGGTACGACTGTTGATAATCTAAGTAAATCAAAGTTATGGTGGTATGGTCCAGATTGGTTTTTTACTACTCAGTCAAAATGGAATTTAAGTGGGGCCTAATATTGACTTCATTGATCCATTGGAAGAAAGGGTTATTTCTTATACCCCGGTAAGATACAGTAATGAAATTAATGACATTTTAAAGAAGTTTTCTTCGTTTAGAAAAACATTAGGTGTTTTAGCTTATGTGATAAGGTTCATGTCAAATATAAGGCTTAAATCTGACAAAAGAATATATAATGCTTTACAGCCCGAAGAAATTGATAGAGCTTTGAGCTTGATTATTATAAACGTTCAAAAGGAGAGATTTTCACAAGAATATTTATATTTAAACCATAATAAAGACTTACCTAAATCTAGTAAACTATTGTCATTAAATCCATTTTTGAAAAACGATATTTTGCGTGTAGGGGGTAGAATAAAAAACTCAAACTTGTCTTTTGAAAATAAACATCCTATAATACTACCCAGTAGTCATGTATTAACAAATCAAATTTTGACATGAACACGAACGGTTACTTCATTGCGGTGTCCAAAATTTACTATGCTCAATTAGGTAAAGGTACTGGCCTATATCTGGACGAAATGCTTGCAAGAAGGTTGTTCGAACCTGCATAAAATGTTTGTGTTGCACCAAAAGAGTATAACCAAACTCTTTAATATATATAACTTAATAACTATATAACTATCACTTCTCTCATAATGGGTGATCTTCCTGAAGTCCGTGTAAATCCTCATACAGTATTTTCGAATGTAGGGACAGATTTCCATTTTTCTTAAAGGATAGGCAATCTCGCGGAGCTAAAATTATAAAATCGTATATGTGCTTATTTGTGTGTATGAGTACAAAGGCTATACATATAGAATTAGTGTCGGGATTGACCACACAAGTATTTTTGGCTGCTTTAAACAGATTTGTGAGTAGACGTCGAATATTTACTCTGACAATGGCTCAAATTATAGGGGTGCAAATAGCGAAGTTTTAAAAATTTATGATTTTCTGAAAAATAACTCCGATTATATTTCCAGTCAATTAGCGTATGATTATATAAAATGGGTTTTCATACCAGCGTCTTCTCCCAGCTTCGGCGGCATATGGGAGGCCGGAATAAAAAGCGCAAAAAGTCACATAAAGCGTGTAATAGGTGAAACTAGATTAACGTTCGAGGAATTTGCAACGGTGTTGACACAAATTGAATCTATTTTAAATTCGCGGCCGCTTTGTCCACTTACTCAGGACCCAGACGACCTCGCAGCGTTGACACCAGGGCATTTTCTAATTAGGAGGCCCTTGACTACCCTTCCTGAAATCAATCTCACTGATGTTCCAATAAACCGCTTAACCAAGTGGCAGCACCTGCAGATGATGAGTCAGCATTATTGGAATAGATGGCAACGAGAATACTTGACAGAGCTACAGAACCGTGTAAAGTGGAAGCAGAATTCAAGACATTTACTAAAGGTTGGAATATTAGTTCTTGTTAAAAATGACAATGCACCTTCAGTGAACTGGCAGCTTGGTCGTGTAACAGAACTGCATCCAGGAAAGGACGGTGTTACCCGTGTAGTGAGTTTGAAGGTGAATGATGGTGTCCTAACTAGGGCAGTAAATCGCGTGTGCGCTTTACCAATTATTAACAATAAAATTTCTATAACCACTTAGAACAGGTGACACTAATTTTGTAATTTAGAGTTTATTTCAAAATGTGTATTTTTCTTTTAGTTAGTTTTGGTTAATTTTCTATGAAATATTAACCAAACCAAATATTGGTTAATATTTCTATATACGAAATATTTTTATTGTCGTAACGAAGATAATTAGCATTATTTTCTATATTATAGGTACATATTTCTAATGTTATATATATATACTTATTATACTTCAAGGTTTACTAATGTTATATTTTTTTGGTTTTTAGTTAAAATTTAGTTTAAAATTTTATACATTTCATATAAATTTATTATATTTCGAATATGTATAGTTATAAATTATATAACGAATTAATTTAAATTTTTTTATAACGAATGTATTATTAAGTATTTGTTCATTTATGTATTCTTTAACAAAAGGAATCTTATTTTTTTAATGTTTAGTTTTAGTATTTTTGAAGTACTAGGTACTTTCAAGGCGGGCGGCATGTTAAGGCTCCCTAAATATAAAATAAAATTTGGCAACAGTGTGAGTGTGACATGTTGTAGCATGTAGACGCTTATTGTATTTTCCACAAATAAAGGGAAAATAAATGTATACAGTCCACAAAATAGTGATTTAATTAAAGCCAAAACAGGAGGTGTGTTAGTTCTCTAATTATTTAAATGTAGCAACGTATTATGTCTCTTTCCGCAAACTTGACAGCCAAACCAAATAAACATTCAGAGGGTTTATGACCTTTTCGAAGACAATTCACACAAGCTTCACAACGTCTAACCTCTTGTATGCGCCTGTCAACGGAAAGAGCCAAAAAATTTTTACATTGAAATAATTTATGATTACTTTTACAATATAAACAACTTTCATTATGCATAACTAGATGAAATTGCAGATTTTTCCTAGGAATGTCTTTATTTGTGTCTCTATAATCGAGTGATTCCAACAACTTACATTTGTCTCTAATAAAATCGATAAAAAAACTGTAATGTAGGTGAAATTTCATCATTAGACCTTATTTCCCATTCACGTTTGCTATTAACATCTAATTTAGACACAAGTAAATAAATCAGCAGAGCATTCCAATGCCTCACTGGCTCTCCTAAATTCTCTAGAGCACGATAATTCTTTTGAAAATTGTCTAAGACCGTAATGATGTAAAATTGTCTCTATGCACCGTATCTAATTCAAATATATTTTTTAAATGCGTTTTTATAATTATTTTTTTGTTCTCATACCGCTTTATTTAAGTCCCATGCAATTAAATAATTAGCTTCTGTGATTTCTAAAGACTGAATTATTTGTGCCGCTTCTCCTTTGAAGGCTGCTTGTAAATAATACAATTTTTGTGTACCGTTTAAAGCTGTGTTTTGATCGATAATGCTTGAAAATAAGTCTCGAAAGGACGACCAGTTATCATAAGACCCCTATAGGGGATAGTGGGGCAAGTGCGGCACAGGGGGCAAGTCCGTTTTTCGAAATAATTCATACATTTGGTATCATAGCCGACAACAATCAGTGAAGTTTATGTACCTATCAACAAGTGCATAGTGTTATTGAAAATCTAGCTGAACATTGCTAAAATTAAGGTAAATATAAATATTTTTCGTATTCCACGTCTGTGGTGTAATATTTAAGGCGAATTACCTAGAGTTTTTTCATAAATTAAGGGCAATATTTGGACATTTCTTTATGCTCATAACATAACCTACTATCTCTGTAATAACGCCTGATATGTACAACGTTGCCAAATGTACCTGTTTCTTTTTAAAGAAATATTCGAATTGTTAATGTCACCTTGGGGCAAGTGAGTCTTTTTCATGACTCACTTGCCCCACAATAGTTTAAGTTATAAATAAATAATTCATCCTTTTTCGCAGGTTGAAGATGGTTCGGAACTACGTGCGTAAGACACAGAGAGGGTCATATTCAGAGGATATTCTCTGCACCGTGCCTTAGAAGCTGTTCATAATGAGGAAATGTCATTAAAAAGAGCAAGTGTTGTCTTCAATATTCCGAGAACAACCATACAGTCACGATTAAATCGTCAAGGGCTCAATAAAGTTAGGAACTTAGGCAGATTTAAACCCGTGTTCACTCCACAAATGGAAATAGAATTGCGTGAACATATAATACAGTTAGAAAAACTTTTTTATGGATTATCAACGACAGATCTTCGACGAATGGCTTTTCAATTTGCTGAAGCAAATCAAATAAATCATCCATTCAATAAAGATCGGAAACTCGCCGGAAAGGACTGGCTGATATCATTTTTAAAACGTCAAGGAAATCTATCAATTCGAAGACCTGAGGCAACGAGTATCGCAAGAGTGACAGGGTTTTCAAAGAACAAAGTCAATGAGTTTTTTAGACATTTAAAAGATGTTTTGGACAAAAATATTTTTCCTCCGCATCGTATATACAACTGTGATGAGACAGGGATTACCTGCGTTCAAAAACCAGGAAAAATATTAGCTAAAAAAGGAAGAAACCAAGTGGGAAGATTAACTTCATTGGAAAGAGGAAAAAATACAACTTTATTAGCTAGCGTCAGTGCTACGGGCACATTTATTCCACCATTCATGGTCTTCCCTCGTGTACGAATGAATCCAAGTTTGTTGGGTGCTGCATTTCCTGGAACAGTGGGATTCTCTGCTCCATCAGGATGGATGGATGCTGGCTTATTTGTTAAATTTTTACAACATTTTATAGACTGTACAAAAACAACCAAAGAGTCTCCAAGTCTACTGATACTAGACGGTCATTCAAGCCATAAGTCCATTGAGGCAATAAATCTGGCTAGGAATTCTGGAATCACTATGTTGACCTTACCACCTCACACTTCGAATAAGTTACAAACTCTTGATGTTAGCGTATTTGCACCGTTCAAAACCTACCTTGCAAAAGAAATGGATCATTGGCTCACAAATCACCCTGGGTGTAGAAGTACAGAATATGACATGGCTCCTATGATTAAAAATGCCCTTTGTAAGGCATTTACACCAATAAATATTATCAAGGGTTTTGAGAAAACGGGAATTTATCCTTATAATCCGGATGTGTTCCAAGAGAGCGACTTTGAAGCGGCTGAAAATATTCTTCAAAAAAAATCCAATGAAGAAAGCGAGGCGGCCGATAATATTCTTCAAGAAGAATCCATTAACTCAAAAAGAGCGTCTGTTGAGATCACTCTTCGAAAGAACTCCAATCCGGAAAGTGTCAATTTCTCAATCATGTCCAAAAACTTAGCTAAGTCTGATGCACCTAACCCAGAATCGCCTGCTGATGACATCCGGACAGATACTAAAGTTTTACCGGTTAATTTAGAGTTAGAACAACCGTCATGCAGTCATATTCTTATTTCATCTATAAGTCCAATCCCAAAACCATCTCAAGGGAACAAAAACACCAAAACGAAATCCAGGAAAACAGAAGGATCCACAATAATAACAAATTCACCTTTCAAAGATCAGCTTGAGGAGAAATTAAAAACAGTAAAAACTAAATCAGTCAAGAAAAACTTTGGGAAGGCAAGGCCAAGTTTGTGTAATATAAAAATAAAAAATAGAGGAACTTTGGAGGAAAAGGAAAAAGGTTCATTAGCAAAAACAATGTCGGAGGAAGAGAAAAACACAATATGCGTTTACTGCCATGAGATATATGGAGATACTTGCCACGAAGAATGGATCATGTGCACAAAATGTGGTGCCTGGATGCACGAGGAGTGTTCGGATAACGAAACGGGTGCTGATAACCATATATGTGACAATTGCCGTTGATACTCTTAGTATTAGTGTAAGGACTCTCTTGCCCCATGTGGGTGACTCACTTACCCCATACCTTGGGGCAAGTGAGTCATTTGACATTTTTTTTGTAAATCTGAAATTCAACCAAATATATAATATTTTGTTTATTTTTTTAAGGTAGATTATTACTTATACAGTTAAAGTTAGTATTTATGTAATAAACGTTTTTCTATTTCTTAAAATAAAAAAAATAGTACATCATTGAACGTTAAGGTGTCGCACTTGCCCCACTCTCTCCTATATAAGGCAGCGGGTCTGGATGGGATATTCCCTGAATTCATCAAGCTACATTCGTAATGAATTCGCTGGCCGAGTGGCACTTTGGCACGCAAGCTAGGAAACTGGTTTCAATATGTTTTCGTTCGTAATGGAATTCGACGCCAGCGTTGAAGTTGGAGTGGAAAATATTTCTTGCAAGCTGCAAACTTTCACTTCGACTCGCGCTTTCGTCCCGGCTATAGGACATGCGCATTGCTTTTGTTTGATGTTTTGACATTTCAAATTTAATATTACGGTGGTGTTCACAATTTGTCTTTATGCCCTTTGCAGCCCTTTGTACTTGTTCTTGTAAATTTGAGATGAGATACGCTTCTCTTGCGTTTTTTCTTATGGTTTTTTCTAATTAAAGACCAAAGTTAAAGACATTTGGAAAAAATGGCTGAAGAAAACAGTCTATCAATTTTATTTGCCACAATGCTAGTTTTGCTACTAAAAAGAAGACGAATATTGATGCAGTTTGACAAAAAGAGGTGTCCAATAAGGCCAAAAAGATGGGGCATTCGTCCAATGTTAATGGCACGAAAAAAGTTTGGATATTATGAAAATCTTTTACAAGAAGCCCGTTTAAGTGATCCATATATTTTCTATAATTTTACAAGGATGTCAGCAACTAGCTTCGATAAACTGCTAGCAATAATAGGTCCAAATATTAAAAAGGGATCCAACAGAGAACCCATCTCTCCAGGTTGTAGGTATGATTAATAATTAGTACCAGCGCTGATTAGCTACTATAAACACCTGGTTCCAATGTTACATTGTATGGTTTCTTTGTTTCAGATTAGCCATTACATTACGATTTTTGGCTACTGGTGACAGTTATCCGAGTCTTTCATATGGTTTCCGAGTTGGAGTATCTACAATATGTGAGATAATTAAAGAAACATGTTGCATTATTTGGAATTTACTACAGCCTTTACAGTTGCCTGTTTTGACAAAAAAAGAGTGGAAAAGTATTTCTGAAAATTTCTTGTCTTTGTGGTCATTATCAAACTGTGTGGGAGCAATTGATGGCAAGCACATCATTATGCAGGCGCCATCCAACACCGGATCTTTGTTTTATAATTATAAGAAATCATTTAGTATCATTCTATTGGCAGTTTGTGATGCCAAGTATAATTTCATCTGTGTAGACATTGGTGCGTATGGGTCTCACAGTGACGGTGGGGTATTAAATAATTCTTCCTTTGGCAAAAAATTATTGGCTGATGACCTGGATATACCACAATCAGAAGAACTACCAAACTGCCCCACAAAAATTAAAATACCTCATTTTTTTGTGGGTGATGAGGCTTTTCCGTTAAAAGAAAACTTAATGCGTCCATATAGTAAACCTAGAGAAGGATCTTTAGCTCGTGATGAAAGAATTTTTAATTATCGTCTATCGAGGGCTAGAAAAATAATTGAGAATACTTTTGGTATTATGGTGGCACGGTTTCGAATCTTCCACCGGATTATCAATGGTAATACAGAAACTGTAGATGGAATTGTGAAGTCTGCTGTATGCCTTTACAATTTTATTAGAAATGAAATGAATGAATGCGAAAATTTCTTGAAATGAATGAAGATGGTGATTTGGATAGGGAAGTTGGGGCTAACATTATACCAGGGAGATGGAGGAATGAAATTCCTGAAGGAGGTACTGGTTTTGAAAAGGTTTCTATTAGACTTGGTGCTAGAAATGCCCCATTTTCAGCTTTGGCAATGAGAAATCATATAAAAAATTATGTGAATGGAGCAGGGGCATGCTTTGTACCATGGCAGTGGCAAACAATTGACAGAACAAATTAATATGAAGAAGAAATTTGTTAATATATTGATGAAAAGTGTAATATTTCCTAAATATTTAAGACAGTTTTGAAATGGACATATTCGGTCCTTCTACCTAAGAAAATTTTGTGTATTACATTACCTAACATGGATAAATGCAATTTTGAATACATATTTTTTATTTTAATAGGAAGTAGTGTATTATCCCAGTAACTATTTTTTTTTAATCAAGGGTATGATATTTTTAGTTTAGGCCTTGGTTTAGGTGTATTAGCTCTTAGTAAATTTTAGAACTGAACTGTCTCAAGATTTTAGACATTTTCATTTTATTTAAGTATTTTCTAAATAAATAAATGTCTTCAAATGTTTCTTTAATCATTGAATGGTAAAAGTCAACCTTAAGTAAAACATATTTTTAAGAAAAACTTTAATAAATATTATTGCACATTATGCATGCAACATAAAAGAAAACATTTTTCTAAACTTTATATAAACTAAACAGTAACAACTTTGTACTTCTTTGCTTACAAAAATATTAGAAACATCAAATCAGTCAACAGTCTGTAAAATTACTTATCTAATATTAATAAACAAAAAAGTTTCTAAAACTAAATACTTCAGAGTTATAATAATCAACAGCTTGTAAATTATCTACTATTAATAAAAAACAAAAACATTTCTAAAACCAATATTTGCAAAACTATGAAATTCTTGATTATTGCTAGTCGGTAGATCTTAATGTTCTTGTAAAGTTTATAATGGTCACCTGCAAGTCCTCCATCAAGATGCTAGCATTTGGCTCCCCAATATTCTTTAGTTCGGAAGCCATAAATTGACCAAATAGTTCATACCTGTCAGTATCTTTTTTATTACTATTTAAATTTGTAATCGCTGTAGAAACATCCAGCAGAGCACTGTCGACTTGTTTTATCTCTGTTTCATTGTAGATTTTCCTTTGCGTTTCTTTGGTGTAGGTGCATTCAAGCGTGTATTATCTATAGTGCTTGTTGATGCAACTGTATTAGGATCTTCCTCTTCAAATTGAAGTATGATGCTTTCTTCATCTGAATTAACAAGACTTGATGATTGACTGGCTTGTGATTCATCAACTTGAACAGGAATGTTTGATGTTGTATGCCTCTGGGATTCTTCACCGCATTTATATATGTATTTAAAAAAACTCATAAGGGGCCAAACTGGTCTTGCTGAAGCAGGAGCCCCACTTCTTCCTAGTTTTTCTATTATTTGCAATTCCCTTCTATACTTCTCTCTAAGGCTTTTAAATCGAGCTTTCGCTTCAGGAACTAAAAACAAATACGATTAAATCAAATATCATACCATAATTACAAAAAACAGTTCGCTCTACGTCTCGTCCGTATCACAACAACCAACAAACCTGTGCAAAATAGACTCTTGGCTACAGAGGCCCAACAATTTTCTTTTTGTAAAATAGATTTATATCCTTTGTCTGTTTTGTCGTACAGTGGTTTATAATTGGCAACACACTGCAGTAAGAATTCGTCATTTACACAACTATTACATTCCGTGTTTTCCATTTTTCAAAACAAAAACAAAATCCAAAAGCCGCTGATTCTAACCTAACTTCATTAATCCTGAAGCATAGCCCTGAAGTTATTATGAATGGCAAATTTCGTGCTGGAATGCGTGCCAAAGTGCCACTCGGCCAGCGAATTCATTACGAATGTAGCTTTATGCACTGCGGCCCTGCTACAGTCAAGTGGATTACTAAATTCTTCAATGATATATTAGAATCCGGGAACTTACCTAAAGCCTTCAAGAAGACTAAGATCGTGGCCATATTGAAACCGGGTAAAACAGGAAAGCTAGCCGCTGACTATAGGCCCATCGCGTTGCTGAGTGTGTGCTATAAAATACTCGAAAGGTTAACCCTTAATCGTATTTCAGAGCGAGTAAATGAGCATATCCCCATCGAACAAGCTGGCTTTAGAAAGAACAGAAGCTGTTGCGACCAAGTCCTCTCGCTCACTACGCATATCGAGAAGGCTTTCCAAGCCCGTCTCAAAACTATCACAGTTTTCGTCGACCTGACTTCGGCTTATGATACGGTCTGGAGAGATGGAATGGTATCAAAGTTCATAAAAATCTTCCCTTGCAAAAAGTTGGCCAATTTAATAAACAACATGCTCTCGAACAGAAATATCCAAATGCATTTGAAAGGAGAAGAAAGTAGCACTTACAACATCAACAATGGTCTCCCGCAAGGCTCTGTACTTGCCCCTGTTCTTTTTAATATCTATACCGCCGACCTCCCTGCTACAGTCTCCAAAAAAATTATATACGCAGATGACATTGCACTTTCCTGCAAAACAACTGATTTCATTAGAGACGAAAATATTCTGTCAGATGACTTGCAGAGGTTAAATGACTATTTTCGTAACTGGAGGCTTCGCCCAAACATGAGGTTCCACTGAGGTTTCGTGCTTTCATCTTCACAACTTACAAGCCAAGTATGTACCGCAAGTCAAATTTGGGGATCAACTGGTAAAATACAACTCTCACCCAAAATACTTAGGAGTCACATTGGATCGGTCTCTCACGTTCAAGCCACACCTCACCAAAACGGCTGCAAAAATAAATACTAGAAATAATATACTGCACAAGATCGCAGGTAGCAGCTGGGGAGCAAACGCCAGGGTACTTAAAACAACTGCAACAGCCCTCACATATTCGGTGGCAGAATACTGCTGCCCTGTCTGGATAAATAGCAATCATACTCATCTTATTGACACTCGTCTTAACAGCGCGATGAGAATTATAACGGGCACTATCAGAAGTACTCCGATCCAGTGGCTCCCTGTATTATCAAACATTACTCCCCCTCATCTAAGAAGACAGGCGGCCCTAGTCAGAGAGTGGAAAAAGTGCACCAGCAATGTTCATCTGCCCATCCATGATGATTGCGAAAATTTCTTGAATCGCCTGAAATCCAGAAAACCGCCATGGGTATTAGGGCAGCAGCTACTAAATTCCAACTTTCGGGTTGAAGACTGCTGGCGAGATGAATGGTCGCAAAATAATCCTGACCTTCATCACTTGGTAACTGACCCGGTACTCTGCCCTCCCGGATTCAATTTGCCAAGAAAAACGTGGACAACACTCAATCGGTTCAGAACTAACCATGGCAGAACCCGCTTCTGGACACACAAATGGGGACTAACCGACAGCCGTAACTGCGATTGCGGACATTCTGAACATATACCTTTTCATATCGCAACAGAGTGCCCATTAACAAAGAAGCAGTTCTCTTTAAATCGTCGGTTAGTTTCGGAGATACAGGGTGTAGAACTTTCATTTTTATTTCGATTTTTTCCAAATAATTTCTGAAGTAACGTCAATATTCGGATAAAAATTGGTGTCTGAGAGTTTTTTGACATGAGAAATTTGATTTTGATGTCAATATGACTCCTACTAGTAGAGGGCGCCACCTACATATTTTTTAACTTGTTTGAAGAGTAATAACTTTTCGTATGTACCTGTATAAAACCGCTGAGTAAAAAAATATATATTTACGACGTTTTTTACGCGAAAAAGATCTCTTGGTAAAAACCGCTACGAGTAATGGTTTTCGAGATATTTGGAATAGAAATTATGAATATATGTCATCATTGACATAAATTAAACATGTTGACTAAATAGTTATTAGACTCAAATCATAAATTTGAAATGTTTTTGTGCCAAATGTTCAACAGAAACTGTTTTATCACCTTTTTTTGCAGAAAAATTTATGATTAATTTTAAAAAAATAAAAATTTCCCAAATTTATTATTTCAGTGAAATAACTATCTACTCAACGTGATTATTTTTCGTCAATAATGACATGTATTTACTATTTCCATTCTAAATATCTTAAGAACGGTTGTTCGTAGCGATTTTTACAAAGAAATATTTTTTACGTCAAAAATCACAGAGATGTAGGTATATTTTTTCACTCGGTAGTTTTATACAGGTACGGACAAAAAGTTATTACGCTTCCAAACAGTTAAAACACCCTCTACTAGTAGGAGTCATATTGACATCAAAATCAAATTTCTCATGTCAAAAAACTCCCAGACGCCAATTTTCATGCAAATATTGACGTTATTTCAGAAATTATTTAGAAAGAATCGAAATAAAAATGAAACTTCCACACCCTGTATCTCTGAAACTAAGCATTTTAGGATATACATTTATACGAACTTTTTTACTTTTAACATTGAAAATCTTTCTGTTATCCTATATAAGGGAGCCCAAATCGAATTAATGCCACACCATGACGTCATATATACAAGGGTATAGGAAATCTCGGCGCAGCGGCGGCAGTCGGCCAGCGCGCGCAAAAACAATTACATCGCTAATTGTTTATTGATATATCTTTATTAGTTTAAAAGCAAAAAATATGGGGTTTGCTTTGATACCTTGTCAAGGCATAAGCGAAACTTTTAAATTGTTTCTTTTTTCCATTTAGGCCTTCGTTTTTCGTTAAATGAAAGTTATATTAAAAAAAGTCATGATTGAAATGAGTTATTCATGTTTAACGTTTTTTTTTGGTCATAAGCGCTAATGGAAATGTTTTTTTGTAAATAATTATAAAAAATTACTCCCTACGAAGTCTTCATTGTGTACTGGACCAAAAAATAAGTATTTGTTTTCTCGATACGGTGGTATTAATATATCGATTTTTGATGATAGTGCCCTTTTATCCGGTATAATTTTGTACTACTTTCGGAATAAGGGTCCCCATATCATGTACTGTACTTCCATCCCTGAAAAATTCAGCTTGTGACACCGAAGTGAGACGTAAAGTCAAAATAAGCTTTAATCTACCTACATCATAGGTAGGTGTAGGTACTCTAGGTATATTCTACCTAGACAGTAGCTGACAGTAGTAATTAATTTTTATCCGATAAGTAGTTGTCATTATATAAGTTTAATCATCTTATACCTCCTATAACGGTAGGTTTTGGATTTTTCCTGATTGGTTTGTTAAACAAAAATATACTGGGCATATAAATGTCTGTTACAGGTTAATTCGTTAAAGAAATATGTTACACACATATTATTTTAATAATAATAGTATAATAGTAATGGCTATATTATGTTATAACACATACATATGTATTGAATGTACTTATTTTAACCAATGCATTGTTTTGTTTTTTTAATCTCACAAATAAGAAATGTTTTATAGTTTTTATTATAAAAAACAGTGATTATACAATTTATTTACACCCCTTACACTGTTTTCTGTAAGGGGTGTAACCAGGAGTATATTTCGTAACCTCTTACGATATAAGAGGGCACAAAGTGTTTTATTACTTAATGCTTAAAATTTAATAATATATTTGTACATAAAATAAAATAGACTAGAAAGTCAATTAATTAATATTGACGTAATTACTAAATAAGTACAAGATTTTTTTTCTAATTATTTTAGTGTATTTTTAGTCACCTAATTATAAAGGAGAGATATCCAACCATTGCATTATTTTACTCACAAATAAATGTTTTATGGTTTTTATTATAAAACAACGATTAATTTATTATACACCCCTTAACCCAAACACTCCAAGGAGGATATTTCGTGACCCCTTATTTAAAGTGGACAAGCTTTATTAGTCAATGTTTTAATTACCCAGCGTCTTTAATAAAAATCTAATGTAATTTTTCATAGAAATGATCTGACATAAAAAGCAAATTTTATCAAAAAACTTTTTGATTATCTACAAGGAGTAAACCGCTGACAAATGTCTGTATACTAATGCCAAAGTAATGCCAAAAATACAAATTAAATACCAAAATTTCTCATATAATGCCCCACTAATGCCAAGCTGATTCCAATATAATACCACTAATACCACGAATAATATGTAACACATTTGTTTCACGAATTAACCTGTAACAATACTGGTAGGTACGTGCACAGATTTTTTCCTAGGTAACTTAAAAGTCGTTAAAAAGTCTAATTATATTTAAAGAAGATATAATTCCAACAAATTACATTATAAGGCCAATAATGCACAAGTAATACCATTAAAATTTTAGCGTTTTTAACTTGTGTAACATATTTCTTTAACGAATTAACCTGTAACAATAGTGGTAGGTACGCGCACAGATTTTTTCGCTAGGTAACTTATTAAGTCGTTAAACAGGCCTATAAAAGCTATAACAACATAGGTAACTAATATTTATAATTTAATTCGAGTTTTAATCTCAAATAATAAATGTTTTTACTGGTGTATTTCTGAAGTGTTCATTATTAAAAGTAGATATTCTTCAAGTTATGCGAAGTAATAAGTAATGTTTCCGGTGAGACCGCGTATATGTCACCGGATTCTGGTTAGTTAAAGACTTTTTTCTATAGAAAGAGTTTTTTCTATATTTTTCTTTCAAAATAAGACTAATTTCTTCTTATTCTTTTAAATATTACAGTGTTTCTTTTTCCTAAAATGTTATACTTAATTTTCGCTTAAAATTAAAAAATCACCAAATGGAGGAAAATATACTTTATTGAATAAAGTTTATAAAAATCATTTTA